ATAAAAATAAATCCAACGCCTCCTTTAGGCCTCACTCTTAAAGCTGACTCCTTTTATTCAATTCTACTACAGGCTTTCAGTAATTATCCACCCACCTCACTTAAGCAGCTTCACCCTCTTAATATTGGTGCTTTCATAAGGGAGGTAGTTTACAACTGCTATTTGCAAGGGGACTTCCAAGATTACCACCTAGATGAAACTTCTTTATATTTGTCTTAGTAATATCATTTACCCCCATATCACATCAGTGTGCTGAGGTACTAGGTGTTTGGTTAACTGTTTTTCTCATACTCTTTACAGCCCTTCTTTCCTATCTCCCTGAGTTCACTATATATTATCATTTTCCTTAAATATGGCTTTGTTTTTATTGTATCATGGCTAACTACTGCCTCCATGGCTGGAGCCAGGCACCCACTCCTCCCAGTAATATTTCAGGTTGCTAACATAACATACGGCACTAACAGCTGGATATGCCCATGCAGACAGGCACTCATGGATAACATTATACCCCTAGCAGTCCCATTATCTACAGAAGAAATTATTTAAAAGCCCAATACTCTGGATTCAACTACACCATTTACATGCACACCAAAAACACAGGTTTAGGAGGGCAACCTAGGCCAATTGATCCCTCATGGCAATCATCCACCGTGACAGAGCAGATTGGGAAGGCACCAGATATGGCCTGCAAGAGTCGCCTCTGCATCAGAAACTCCCAAGGGTCTAGCCCTTTCCTAGGGCCTTCGACACAGGCCCATTGTAATTATACCCTCAACTGTAATCAAATACACCAGGAATGGAAGCCATATGACAACGACGACAAGTTCACTGTGTACCTCTGCAGGTTTTCTCTGTGGTGGGGAAACAACAAAGTTAATGCCAACAAAATGTATAATGATCCCTTTATGCCTATAAACAGTTCAGTTACTGGGATGGAATATATAGGAATGGAGGTTGAGACTGGACCACTTCTCAACCTCACTAATACATCTCCAAATTTCCCTTGATTTTCCCTTATCCCATTAATATTTAAAAATCTTATCTGCCAGGCCCCACATTCATATAACACAACAAGTAAAACTTTTCCCCCTTTATGTATGGATGACTACTTTCTAGGTCACCGCCCACCCACATTTGATTCCTGGGGACCGTGGGATCCCTCTATTTATGCAAACTATACCGGAGTCCAAACTAACCGTACCTATCCCTGGTTACAAGGTCTCTTCTCAGGAGTTTCTTTAAAAGGAACTGGGCTCTTCTTTTGGGCCCTTCAAAGGCCATCAGAAGAAAGGAAGCAGAAACAGGACTTAACGAACCTTCCATCATTTGGCATCTTCACCACTGATGATCCCATTATAGAGAGGAATGGTCTAGGACATTCTGTTGCCCATGCAATCTTTCGGTTAGCAGGTATACCCATGGTTGAGCACAGCATTTGTAATATCACCATCTTAGTCTAGCAATCTTGGGAAGCTAAAGTCATGGCCATCAAGGCCCAACAACAGGCCCTAAATTCATTAGCAGGGGTTGTCTTGCAAAATTGATGTACTGTGGATGTGCTTACTCCTGAGGCAGAAGGCACCTACATGCTGTTAAATGAAACTTGTTGCTTTTACTTCAATGCCTCAAGTCAAGTAGAAAAAACTTTAGAAAAGATTAAAAAAAAAACATCAAAATATTAGAGGGCCTTCAAAAAGGAGTTCCTGAAGATTCCTTTTTGGCACAGCTACTTCAAAGCTTCTTCAACTGGGTTTGGCTATAGGTTGCCCCACTTCTCCCATCAATAATAATGCCCATATTGGCCAGGCACGGTGGCTCACACCTGTAATCCCAGGACTTTGGGAGGTTAAGGTGGGTGGATCACCTGAGGTCAGGAGTTTGAGACCAGCCTGGCCAATATGGTGAAACTCTATTGAAAAATACAAAAATTAGCTGGGTGTGGTGGCATATGCCTATAATCCCAGTTACTTGGGAGGCTGAGGCAGGAGAATCACTTGAACCTGGGAAGCAGAGGTTGCTGGGAGCTGGGATCATGCCACTGCACTCCAGCCTGGGTGACAAGAGCGGAATTCCATCTCAAAAAATAAAAATAGTAATGCTCATATTACTTTATTTTTTTGTGCCATGTATTGTTAATACAGTATCTTGTTTTGTGATTTCTAGAATATAACAATTTCAAACCAAAATGTTACTGCAATGAGGGTATCAGCCACTAAAAGAACTCCATGATTCTCCTTTGGATACAGCAGGACAAAATTTTAGGCTGCAAATGCTGTTCCTCCATGGTCTCACAACAGCTCTGACCAATTTAACTCTCAACCCAAGGATTTAGGTCCAAGTAACCTCCTGACCAACTAACAATCCTAGGTAGGGCAAACTCTACACGTCTGGTTGGCAGAAAGCAGTTGGAAGATGAGACCTTCCATTCACGTGCCAAAAATTTGTCATTGTTGCTCTGTTGGGGAAATGTAGAATCCTAATTAGGAAAAAGGATTCAGGCTGGTGGAACCAGGAGAAAGCAAAGAGATAAAGCAGATAAGCTATAGGTCTGCCTTTCTTTATGGGCCAGGACATATAGCCCTCCTGTGCAAAGTACAAAACTCACAAACTTTCTGCTTATCATCAAATGCTTCAATTTATCATCAAATATCTCAGCTGAGAGATAAATGCAGGTTAGCTCCCTGCTACCTTGGTGTTATCAAGTAGCCCAAGAACCATCCTATAAAATCTTCAGCAAGCGTTTGTTTGCTGGCAGCCAGTTCTTCTCTTGCTGGCTGCCCATTGCTTTCTCACACTGAATTTTCCTACTTTCTCTAATAAATCTGCCTGTACCTACAAATGTCTTGGTAAATTCTTTTTTCCCCATGCCACCAGCCTAGTTACACTCTTCAGCAATGTGAACCTCTGCTACCCAATTAAGAGGTGGAGCTTCTTTCTCCATCCCCTTGAGGATGGGCCCTGTAACTACTTTTATGACCAATGGAATATCGCAGAAGTAATGCTATGCCAGTCCTAGGTGTAGCTCTTAACTGGCCTGGCAGCTTCTTCCTAGCTCTTGGAATACTTGTTATTGGAACTCTCCCTCTCAGAATAAGTTGCCATACTGTGAGAAGTCTAAATCACATGGAGAGCTCACATATAGGTGTTCTAGGTGAAAACTAAAACTCCTAGTTGATAACTGAGATCCCTGACTACAGTCAGTATACACTGCCAGCTATATGAGTACGTATCCTAGGTTGAGCCTTCAGATGAATATAGGCTCAGTCATGTGGATCTGACTTAAACCACATGAGATGTTCCAAGCAAGAACTACCTAGTTGAGCCTTGTTGACCCACAGAATCATAAAAGATAATCATAAATTGCTTTGAACCACACATTTTGGGGTATTTTATTATGTAGCAAGAGGTAACTATAATACCTCTGCCCACATTTTTTTCCTCATCTCGCCATTAATTCAGAAGTTCAGCAGGGAAGAGAGGTGATATTTATTGAGTCCTCATAAATCTCCAACAGGAGAATTTTTAAAAATGAGAAGGAAAGATTTCTAGAGCAGAGGCAATAGCAGGAAGTCAGAAGGGTAGGCCAGGTATTGTTGTTTGTGATCCCAAAGTGAGAATGGGATCAGGCACATTAGCCATGCTCTTTCTAGAAAGAGAAGAGCTTATTTCTATGCACCAAGTGTGAGTAAGTCAGGAGACAGGCTCCAGAAACAGGGAGGGTAACCAGTAATCAGAGAAGCCAGGTCCTCTTCCTCCATTACACTGGCCGCCTGATTTAGGTATCACGGCCACCAGTGGGAAGAGACTGCAATGGTGTAAGAAAAGCTGCAGGGAGGTAGCTGCCTGTTTCCCCCAACTGAGCCTGGTTGTAGTGATCAGAAAGACACTAATCCCAGCCCAAGGCTTGTCAGAGGAGGGCAGTGGTATTTCCCAAAGCACCCAGGGTTTTCTAGTGGTGCCTATTTTTTAAGTGTTTCAAACTTATTTTGTAAGATATTCATCCAGTCAAATGTCCTATGTATATAATCATAATATACATAATGACAATGGAATTTAATTTTACCAAGACAGTTGGTGCCTGCTTTTACGTGAAATTTTGTAAACTGCTTTGAGCTTCTAGAAGAGTAAGTGTACTACTAATGTAAAATAGTGTCAATAATGCGTGAATTATAGCACATAATCTTCTATGTTGGAAATCTGTTTTTGTTTTTGTTTTTCTGAGACAGATCTTGCTCTGTTGCCCAGGCTGGAGTGTGGTGGCAAAATCATAGCTCACTGCTGTGTTTAACTCCTGTACTCAAGTGATCTTCCCACTTTAGCTCCCAAGTAGATAGAACTACAGGTCTATGTCACCATATCTGGCTAGTTTTTATTTTTATTTTTTTGTAGAGATAGGGTCTTGCTATATTGCCCAGGCTAATCTCAAACTCCTGGCTTCAAGCAATCCTCCTTCCTCAACCTCCCAAAGTGCTGGGATTACAGGTGCGAGCCACCATGCCTGGCCAAATATCTGGTTTTTAGGTAGCAAATGATGATACAGAAAACAAAATCATACCTTGCAAAATTCTCACCTCCTTCTTCAGCCTCCCAAAGTGCTGGGATTACAGGTGTGAGCCACCATGCCTGGTCAAAAATGTGTTTTTTGTTTTTGTTTTTGTTTTGTTTTTTCTGAGATGGAGTCTTACTCTGTAGCCCAGGCTGACATGCAGTGGTGTGATCTCAGCTCACTGCTACCTCCACCTCCCGGGTTCAAGCAATCTCCTGACTCAGTCTCCTGTGTAGCTGAGACTACAGATGTGTGGCACCACACCCAGCTAATTTACGTATTTTTAATAGAGATGGGTTTTCACCATGTTGGCCAGGATGGTCTTGATCTCTTGGCCTTGTGATCCTCCTGCCTCTGCCTCCCAAAGTGCTGGGATTACAGGTGTGAGTCACCACACCAGCCAAAAATCTGTTTTTTTAGGTAGCAAATGATGATATAGAAAACAAAATTATACCTTGCAAAATTCTCCTTCTCTTCACAGTGAAGTTCTTTATGACCTGCATGTATGTGTTTCTGTTCCATAGCACGCTCTTCCTGTTCTTTAGCTTCTCGTTGCACTAAGAAAAGCAAAAGTAATTATATGTCAAATGACTTTCAGACAAGACTTGCCAACATCTTTCTGGGCACCAAAGTCATATTGTCTTTAGAAAGGTAGAGCTTAGAATCATGACTGGATCTTAAATTGATAAAGTGCAAGTACTTATCTCAATTGAGAAATAAATTTGGTTTAGGCTGATATATGCTACAATCTACAGATTTTCTCTTGATCATTTTCAATGAAAATCAATAATTACCCTTTTTCATACCAGATTACCAATGTTAAAACACTTCTCACTTTTCTCTCCTTGAAGACAAACAGTTCATTGCCATTCATACTGAGAGTTTATTTATTATAAAATAAATATTATTTAAATATATAAAGCTCTTTGGCTGAGATGGGTGGATCACCTGAGGTCAGGAGTTTGAGACCAGCCCGGTCAACAAGGCGAAACCTCGTCTCTACTAAAAATACAAAAATTAGCCAGGCACAGTGGTGCACGCTTGTAATCCCAGCTGCTCAGGAGGCGGAGGCACAAGAATCACTTGAACCAGTGAAATTGAGGTTGCAGTGGGCCTATATCATGCCACTGACTCCAGCCTGAGCGACAGAACAAGACTGTCTCAAATAAATAAATAAATAAATAAAGCTCTTATAAGTTAATAAAAATATTTAAGCATCCCAATAGAAAAAAAGGCAAAGGGAACAGAGTTTACAAAATAATAAATACAACAGGCTACTATACATCTGAAATGTACATATCTTTGGTACCACAATCTATTTCAGAAATTTGTCTTAAACAATCAGATACAATCCAAAAAGAACTATGTAACTATGTACAGAGACAATAACCTGGAATTGTAAAATGACAGTAAAAAGATTAGAAACAATATAAAGGTTTATTAGTTGTGTTTAGGTAAAATAAATTATGGTCTGTTTTTATAACAGATTTCTAGGCAGTCATTGCAAATCTTATAATTGATGAAAAATGACATAAAATGTTTTTGATATGTGAAAAATATAGACTATTAAACACCATATACAACATGATTCTAATTTGTAAAGGAAAATTATATATGTAGTAAATTTACTAGAAGAAAATATACAAAGCTATGAATAGTAGCTATTCCTGGGTGGTGGAATTATGGTTGATTTTGCTTCCTTGTTTACAAATGGTCTCGATAAATTTTCCATGTTTTTTTTCAATATTTTCTAAAACATTTATCACTGATGAATATAAAAATCTTTTCAGCTTTTAAACTTTTTACTCACTTTCTAAAAGTTCCAACTAATATTGGCTTAATTTTCTACTGCTATTAGAATTCCTGTAGTAAACAATTAATCAGTGGGACCAGGATAAGCTTCCTCTTGCAAAGACCACTAGTGTGAAATCCAATGGTACTCAAACAATAAATGTGTCCATCTGTTTATTGCCTCTCTGGTCCATTGGGCTGGACATGGAAATTGCAGAAATGTGGAGGTGGAAATTCACCTTCTCAACAAACCTGCTTCTGTGACCAAGCACTGCTTGAAGCTGAAGTAATATAGTGGCATCGTGTAGTATTAAATAAGAGACATAATGTGGCTATATGATTAATGGTAGCCATAAAGTTCACTTAAGCATCTCTCAGGGCTGACACTATCTATCACTTAGCAGTATGATACAACCTAGTCCAGGGATTTCCAAGAGACAAATGTCAGCTCAGCACAGATGTAACTTTCAGAAACTTAAAACAAAGCTTACCCTTAGAAGAATAGCTTAAACTCCCTTTATGAAAGAAATACCTAGTAACTGGCCTGGATTGAATATAAGTATTAAAAAGGGGAAAAGATTCTCCAAACTTTGAGCATGGTCTCCAAATAAAGACTCTCCTGGCCAGTTGGCTATCTGAGATGTGAGCAAGCCACAGTGCTCTGGAAAAGAGGATTTATTTTGATGGGGGAACACAGAGGACCTTTCCAGGCATGAGTCAACTAAGCTGGCATTGAAGGATGTCTAGATTTTTCACGATCAAGAGCATCATAGGCAGAGACAACTACGTAAACAAAGGTATGGAGACAACTTTGGAAAGAAAAGAAGGACAGATACAAAGGACAAGAAGGAGCTGTATGTGTGTGCTCCATCTTCTCACTCTTCATTCTAATCACCAAGATACACAGTATTCAAATGATGTACTGTTCCTTTAACTTTGAGAGCTCCCCTGTGACTGCTTGGAATCTGCTGGAATATAAAACTTCATATATATATCAAATTACATAAGATTTGCAAAAGTGGGCCTTCTGCCTTCATCCTTTTTGCATCCCTCATGGCGTTTTACATAATAAGTATTACAATTGTAAGTTTCTTGGTAAATTGAAAAACTGAATTAAGGACAAGCTATAACATAACTGTAATTCAGTTCCTTACACTTTTCTTGAACCTGAAGTTTTCTGGTACACATGACCTCATCCACAAGCTGTTTCCTTGCCTCCTTTTCAAGCTTCAGCTCCTTGTCCTTCTCAGCCAACTTCTTTTCCTTGTCTTCCTCTAATATTCTATCGAATTCTTTCTCCTGAGCTTTTTCTTCCTCATGTCTCTGTGCCAAATACTTGTGATATATCTTCTGTTCTCTTATCATATCTTCCTATGTAACATAAAAATTCATATTGTTAAAATGTTTAGGTGTGATAGTGATAGTAAGGATACATTTGAAAACAATCTTTATCTCATCTGAGTCTAGATGAAAAAAATAAGAAAAAAAAAATCTTTAAAAGCTCCAATTCTAATTTTTTAGAGCTCTATACTGAGGCATTTACAGATCTATGTCTGGAGTTTACTACAAAATACTCAGGAGTAGTGGGGGAAATGGGTAGGTATATAGAAGAGACAAGAATGACCATTAGTTGATGGTTATTAAAGTGAGGTGATGGACATATGGGGGCTCACTGTGCAATGCTTTGTATCCATTTGAAATGTTTGATAATACATGGTTGAATAAGTTAATTCAAACACTTTCCCCAAGTGTTTTTTAAAGTAGTTGCCAAATAGTTTTCAATGATACTTTATTTTCATTTACTTTAACTTAGGTATATGAAATCTTAATCTGATAAACTAAGTCATTTCTGCTTTTATAGCACTGTCTCTCTAGCTGGTAGTCATTTTGTACTTTATTACAGCAATTCTCAATCTTAGCTACACTTTGGAGTCACCTGGGGAGCTTTAAAAAGTATTGAGGGCTGAGTCCTACCCCCAGAAATTCCTATTTAATAGATACCTTTTAAGTTTCCCCAGGTGATAGTAATGTGCAGCTAAAGTTGGGACCTGCTGTTTATTCAGTGCAGGCAATTTTAGTTGGCTACTGCCATGTTGCAGTAACGATCCAATAGCAATGAGTTCATCCAACACCAAGATTGTAGATATTATTAAATACCTGATATAGTTTGGCTCTGTGTCCCCAGCCAAATCACATCTTGAAATGTAATCCCCATGTGCGAGGGGAGGGACCTGGTGGAAGGTGACTGGGTCATGGGGATGGTTTCCTCCATATTGTTTTTGTGATAGTGAGTTCCGTGAGATCTGATGGTTTAAAAGTGTGGCTTTCTTCACTCCCTCCCTCCTGCCACCACTTAAGTTGGTGAGATCCGATGGTTTAAAAGTGTGGCTTTCTTCACTCCCTCCCTCCTGCCACCACTTAAGACGTGCCTTGCTTCCCCTTCCACCATGATTTTAAGTTTCCTGAGCCTTCCCCAGCCATACGGAACTGTGAGTCAATTACACCTTTTTTAAATAAGTTACCCAATCTCAGGTAGTTCTTTATAGCAGTGTGAAAACAGACTAATATAATACCATTTCCCACTAAAAAAGAACCAAGAATATTTGGGAAAATAATCACTTATAAGACTGGGGCAGAGACAGAATAAACCTAGGACATCTTATTGTATCAGAATCAAGAAAACTATCAACGTCTATTGGTGGACAGTATCAAAAGAGCATGATAGCCCACTTAAAGGGACTCCTGAGACCTAGGATGCAGCAATCTGGGAACCAAAAAGAAGGATGAACTAAGTAATACACTAAAAAACTATTAAAACTTGGCCAGATGCAGTGGCTCACACCTGTAATCCCAGCAATTTGGGAGGCTGAGGTGGGCATACCACTTGAGGTCAGGAGATTGAGAACAGCCTGGCCAACATGGTAAAACCCCATCTCTACTGAAAAAAAAAAATAGCTGAGCATGGTGGTGCAAGCCTGTAGCCCCAGCTACTTAGGAGGCTGAGGCAGGATCACCTGAACCAGGGAGACAGAGGTTGCAGTGAGCCAAGGTTGCACCACTGCACTCCAGCCTGAGTGACAAAGTGAGACTCTATCTCAAAACAACAACAACAACAACAACAACAACAAAAACAAAACTATTAAAACTAACAAATGAGTTAAGCAATGTTGCAGGATACAAGACCAATATACAAAAGTCCTTATATCTCTATTTAACAGCATCAATCTAAAATAAAATTAAAAATTTTATTTCCAAATAGAAATTTTATACTTAGGAATAAATTTAACAAAATAAGTGTAAAATGTACACTCTGAAAACTAAGAAACATTACTGAAAGAAAGAAGACCTAAATAAATGGAAAGACAGTCTAAGTTCATCAATCAGAAGACAATACTGTGAAAATGGTAGCACCTTCCAAATTGACCTACGGATTCAACACAATCTTTATCAAAATCTCAACTGGATTCTTTGCAGAAATTGACAAGCTGATCCCTATAACTTCCAGATACAAAGATATGCAAGGGAACCAGAATAGCCAAAAAAATTTGAAAAAGAACAAAGTTTGAGGATTTACTTTTTTTTTTTTTTTGAGACAGAGTTTCACTCTTGTTGCTCAGGCTGTGCAATGGTGGAGTTTCTCTCTTGTTGCCCAGGCTGGAGTGCAATGGCATGATCCTGGCTCACTGCAACCTTGGTCTCCCAAGTTCAAGCGATTCTCCTGCCTCAGCCTCCCTGGGATTATAGGTATGCACCACTACGTCCAGTTAATTTTTTAATTTTTAGTAGAGACAGGGTTTCACCATGTTTGTCAGGCTGGTCTTGAACTCCTGACCTGACGTGACCCACCTGCCTCAGCCTCCCAAAGTGCTGGGATTACAGGCATGAGCCACCACACCTAGCCAGGATTCACATTTTCTGATTGCAGCCTTATTACAAAGCTGCAATAATCGAGACATGTATATTTGTTATAATGGACTAAGGATACATAGATTGATGGAATAGAACTGAGTGTCCAGAAATAAACTTTTACTTTACTGTAATTAACAAAGGTGATAAGACAATTCAATAGGGGAACACTTAGACAATTATTTCAATGAATGGTCCTTGGATAACTGGATATCCACATGCAAAATAATGAATTAGGATCCTTATCTCACACCATATACAAAACTTAAAATGAATCAAAAGCTTAAATGTAAAAGCTAAAATTATAAAACTCTAAGAATAAAACAAAGGAGTACATCTTTGTGATCCTAGAGTAGGTAACCATTTTTTAGATAAGACCCCCAAAGCATAAGCAACAAAAGAAAATATAGCTAAATTGAACTTTGTCAAAATTTAAAAATTTGTGATTCAAGGGACACCATCAAAAAAGTGAAAAGACAAGCTACAGAATGAAAGAAAATAATTGTAAGTCATTTATCTGATAAGGGACTTGAATCTAGAATATATAAAGAACTCTTACAATTCATAATAAAAGGACCAATAACCCAAATAAAACATGGGCAAACAACTTAAATAGATGTCCCCAAGAATAGAGAATAGCCGGAGCAAGGGATCCAAGATGGCCATATAGGAACAGCTCTGGAGCGCAGTTCCCAGCAAGAACAACGCAGAGGGTGAATGACCACTGCATTTCCAAACAAGTTTTCACTGCCCACAGACCAGAAGATTCCCATGCTGAAAGTACCATGAGTTTCCAGCCCGGCTGTTTCGGCCAGTGCAGCAGGTCTCCACACGAAAACTCACACAAACCTGTTTCAACTGGTGCCTGGAACGCCTGAGAGAGAGAGCCACCCATTCAACTGAAAAAAAAGGGGCTGAAACAGGTGATCTGGCTGGGCGGAATCCACCCCCACAAAGACCAGCAATCTGAAATGCTCTGGATTGAGGATTCTGCAGCAAGCACAGCTGGACCCAGGACGGTCCAGCTCTGAGTGGGGAAGGGTGTTCACCATTACCGAGGAAGTCCACCACTACCAAGGCAGTCTGCCATTACCAAGGCAGTCCATCATTACCGAGGTAGTTAGCCATTACTGAGGTAATCTGCCATTACCAAGGCAGTCCACCATTACAGAGGCAGTACGCCATTATTGAGGCAGACTACAATTACCCTGGCAATTCTAACTATATCTCTATAAACAAAACTGCAAGGAAGTTCACACAGCAGCAGGGCAGAGCCCACGGCAGCTCAACAATGCCTCTGCTAGCAGACTGTGAATAGGCTACCTCCTTGCTGGGAAGGGCATCTGCAAAAAAAGGTAACAGCACATCAGGAACTTATAAATAAAGCCCCACCTTCCCAAGACAGAGCACCTGGGAAAAAAAGGCGGTTACAAGTTCTGCTGCAGCAGACTTAAACATACATGCCCAGCAGCTCTGAACAGAACAATAGAGTTCACAGTTCAGAACTTGAGCTCCTAAAAGAGACAGACTGTCTCCTTGAGAAGCTCCCCGACCCTTGTTTACCCAAAGAGACACCTCATAAAGGATAGCTCAGGCTGACATCTGCTGGGTATCCTTCTGGGACAAAGATAACAGAAGAAACTGGTAGCAACCTTTACTGTTCTGCAGTTGCCACAGGTGATCCCCAGGCAAGCAGGGTCTGGAGTGGACCTCCAGTAGTCCTACAGCAGAGGGGACTGACTGTTAGAAGGAAAACTAAAGAAAGGAAAGAAATAACTTCAGCATCAACAAAAAGAATGTCCATTCAGAGACCTCATCTGAAAGTCACCAACTACAAAGACCACAGGTAGATAAATCCACAAAGATGGGAAGAAACCAGCACAAAAAGGATGAAAACACCCAAAACCAGAACGCCTCTCCTCCTTCAAGGGATCACAACTCCTCACCAGCAAAGGAACAAAGCTGGATGGAGAATGAGTCTGATGAATTGGCAGAAACAGGCTTCAGAAGGTGGGTAATAACAAGCTTCTTTGAGCTAAAAGAACACATTCTATCCCAATGCAAAGAAACTAAGAACCTTGAAAAAAGGTTTGACGAAATGCTAACGAGAATAAACAGCTTAGAGAAGAATATAAATGAATCAATGGAGCTGAAAAACACAACAAGAGAACTTCGCAAAGCATACACAAGTTTCAATAGCTGAGTCGACCAAGCAGAAGAAAGGATATCAGTGATTGAAGATCAACTCAATGAAATAAAATGAGAAGGCAAGATTAGAGAAAAAAGAGTAAAAAGAAATGAACAAAGCCTCCAAGAAATATGGGATTATGTGAAAAGACCTAATCTACATTCGATAGGTGTAACTGAATGTGATGGAGAGAATGAATCCAAGCTGGAAAACACTCCAGGATATTATCCAGGAGAACTTACCCAACATAGCAAGGCAGGCCAATATTTAAGTCCAG